AGAGAGAGAGAGAGAGAGAGAGAGAGAGAGAGTTCCTGGATGACTGAAGAATGACTTGCTTTGAGAGAGAGGTCACTGATCTAAGATGTATACAAGTTTTAAGGAGAGCTTGACAGGGGTAGGAATCTTAGGGATAAATAAGGTCTTTTCTCACAGCATATTGAATTATGTGAAATAAGGTGTCTCAGCACAAGATATTATTTAAACAGAAAAAAAAATGTTGTTGTTGTAGAGGAGAAGGGAGGTGGGATTGGTTTAGGGAGATTGGAAGCATGAGAGAATAGTGGATTGCCATTCTGTGTACCCCAATATTATACATGCTTGATTGTATTGTGATTTTCTGTTCTAGTATTGTTGCATGGCTATATAATTGTTTTATTTATCAATTTCCAGGTTCCACATTTATTTGACCATGGTAGTTAAAAACCTAAAAATTAGAATCTTTGACCCTAAGGACTGAGTTACAATCCTAGAATTTTGGCACATTTGAAAATCTGGACCAAATTTGTTTCTGATTGAAACATAACCAAGAGAACAGTATCTATTATTGGGAATTCCTTCCAAACTCATACAAACTTGCCAATAATAAGCTATACATCCTTCACCAAAGACCCATATTGTGTCACTGGTAATCTGACTAAGCATCGTCAAATCTCCAGGTATGAGTATGAGGGCCACATGTTCAAATTCTCACCTAACCACCTCCCTATATTGGTCTAAAATGAAATTGGACCAATATAGATTAACAAGATAGAGGTAAGATTGCTGAGATAATGTCTTGGGCTTCCTAATGTTTTGCTGCTGCTGGTAATGGAGCAGAACAACTTGCCGCCACCAAAGGCAAAACGGAGAACAAAGAGAATATCAGGCAAGAAAAGGGATTGGAAATCATGGGCACATTATGGTTGAGAATGGGCTGGGTCCTTGGCGGTAGTACCAACGAACCCTATGATGAAGTCTCTGACTCCATTCTCACTAAAAGGTAGGAGGCCCAAATCCCCACTGGCTTACTTTACTTAACCAAAAAAAATTCAACCATAAAAACAAGCATGTCTGAATGGATAAGAATACATAGATAATATATAATCATTGTCGCCAGCCAAGAAAAAAGGGTTGGAAATCATGGGCACATTATGGTACCTCCCTTCTTATTGTCTCCAAATTCCTTCCCTTCAAACTTTAGCCCCAACTGCATGTCTTCCTCACTATCCAAGTCTCCAAGATGTGTCAAAGTATTTCCTCAGCTTATTACGGTTTCAGACTCCAAATTCCTTCTCTTCAAACTTTAGCCCCAACTGCATGTCTTCCTCAATATCCAAGTCTCCAAGATGTGTCAAAGTATTTCCTCATCTTATTACGGTTTCAGAATAAATGTAAATTATGCTGTTATCAGTCTAGTAAGGGATCTTTAGGATTGAAGTATTTGCCCTTGTCTCATTTGGGTGACTCCCTAATAGCATGTTTAGGGATTGAATCCACCACGAGCTCCTATCACGTAGTTGTCTAGACTCATGGCGCATTTGTGGCACATGTGTGACACTTACCTGGCAAATATATCGAGAACTCTATGCTGTATATTTAAATTCACTTTCATGAACTCTCCCCTGAAAATCGTGTTGACATAGCTTCCTAGAGTGAGAATATCTAATTTCAGTAACCATTGGCTCCACATATATTTATCTAATCCTAACCTCTGCATTAAACTAAAATCATCGAAAACCAGTCAAACATATCCAAAATGACCAGAAGCGTGTCATGAACTGAACTTGCCCAGAGCCATATGGAAATCGGTACATTCGAAGATATCTGATTATTAGTGGTCATCAAAGTACACAAATAATCCTAAAACGTAATAAAAAATCTAAAACTTTGAATAAAGATCTCCAGAACTCTGAAATTAAATGAATTGCCTGTTTCTTCAACCGAAACCAAAGCATCAGCATTACCTGGTTCACTGAGATTTGAAAATCAAGCTAAAATCAAGAATCCCATTTTATTATCAAATGGTATCCACAACTTATATGACCTAAAAGAAAGAAAGACGCATCAAAACCAGCATTTTCGTGCAACCCGACATGCACAGTTCAGCCAAACAAGAACCAATATTAAAACTTTGCAGAAACAGAAACAAGAAATAAAAACTTAATGCTTCACAAAAGAAGCATTCTCCCTGCAGTAAAACAGGGATGTCCCTTTGCAGATATCCATTCAATTACCACATTTAAACCCAAAAAGGAGATAGAATAACCATTTGCAGTAAAACAGCAATGTCCCTTTCCAGATTTCCATTCAATTATCACATTTAAACCCAAAAAGGAGATAGAATAACCATGAAAGAAGAAGTGGGAAAGAATAAATCTAAAACCTTAAAGCATGGCAAGGACATAGTAGCAAGAAAAAAAAGATAATGTCAATAAATCAAACATCAAAAAGCAGTATTTTCTAGTAACCAAGAAATAATTCAATTGTTCACATTGAAAGACTAACAAATAGCAATCTGCTAACTTCAGAGCATGGTTTGGCTTCCTAACCTTATTGTAAGGTCCTTCCCCAGAATAGGAAACAATTTTGTAATTGGATTTTGGTTAAGATAAAGTGAAATCCTTCCACTAATCATAAAAACCAGTATTTACCAATAGACATGCACTCCATAAACAATCACCAAAGCCACTATTTACCGGTAGACATGCACTCCATAAACAATCACCAAGTTATCCCTCTAAAAAGGAAAATAAAGATAAAAGCAATAAATACATTCAAATTATCCTACAAAGTCACATAAATTCAATTTTAACATATTTTCATTATCCCACATAAATTCAATTTTACCATATCTTCATTATCCCAGAACGACAAGCTTTCTTACAGCTCCATAAAAAACACCTTATAAAAAGGGACAGTTTTCCCACTAACCAGTTAAATAACTTAAATTTCATCAACAAAAAGTGAAAGAAGAAAGAGGAACATTATATCTTTAGTAATCTCCATCAAGAAAAACTCAAAGAAGAAAAGGAGCATTACATCTGTGTTAATCTCCATACCAAAGCATTCTTACAGCTTTGCAAACACAGGCTTCCTCTTCTGAACACTAGCTTCAACAGCTTCCTCCAAATCTTTTGACAATAACATGGCTGAATTCCAGGTCGCTACATAGTCCAAACCATGCTCAACCCCCAGTTCTCTCCCCTTAAGCATCACTGCTTTGGTCCCCATTAAAGCCATTGGGGACTTTTCTGCAATAGAAGAAGCTAACTCCATCACCCCTTTCTCCAAATCATCTCTCGATTCAAAGACCGTTTGAACCAAGCCCAGTTTCTTAGCTTCGAGCCCATCGATTCTTCGACATGTTAAGGCTAAATCCATGGTGTTTCCATAACCAATCAAATAAGGAAGTCTCTGAAGACTACCTAAATCAGCTGTTAAACCCAAATCCACCTCTTTTACAGAGAAGAAAGCTTGTTTGCTACAGAGCCTGAGATCACAAGCAGTGATCAAGTCTACTCCCCCACCTATACAAGCTCCATGGATTGAAGCTATAACAGGCTTTCGACAAAGCTCGATAGCTGTAATGGCAGACTGCATCTCTTTAATGGCCCGCCGAAGGGCCTCTCGTGCCCGACCTTGGTCTTGGGTTTGTTGGTTTTGGAGAGATTTCAGAGAAAGAATGTCTATGCCGGAGCAGAAGTGGTCGCCATTAGAGGCTAGTATGATGAGTTTCGCAGATGGGTTTTGATCGAGGAGAGAGAGGGCTTTGGGGAATTCCGTGAAGAACTTGGGGGTGAGGGCGTTTCTTCGAGATGGATTGTTGAGGTAGAGAAAGAAAATACCAGAATTTGGAGGCTCGGATTGGGTCACTTTCAGGGTTTCGAAGTTCATCGCGAATTGAGGTTCCATGAATTTCTTGAGACACAGAGCAAAGCGGAAAGCAATGGAAAAACAGATAAATCTTTGGGTAGAAGACCAGAGAGGCCGACAGCGCTTTGGTTACCAATACTTATTTTCGGTAACCGTGAAAATATTAAAAACATTTTCACGTAAAAAACTTCCTAAGTGATTGGGAGTTTTTTTTTCGCAAAATTTTTTTCACATTTTTTTTAGGGTGCTGTTTATTCAGAGCGAGGTTCTAAACCATCAAAATCGAGCGCACCTTCTAATAGTGTCGAGGAATGTGGTTTCAGTTAGAAAATTTTTTGGATAGCTTTAACTATTTTTTCATATTTAATTATAAAATTTGAAAGTTTAAAAAAAAGTGCAGATCGAACAATGAAAATTTGAAAATCTTAAAAATTGACGGTCCAAAAATGCGTTACAAGATACATTATTTTGAAATTTTGAAATCCATTTTTTTTCTCATGTCCATGCATTTTGATGTCAAAATTATCAATTTGAGGATAGTTGGCATCAGAACAATCTTTTCCAGTAAAATTTTTGACATGCGGCTTAATTTGATTGTTTAGAACCTCGCACTTATATAAATTTTTTTTTTTTTTATACATAAAAGTTATATTCAATCTTCGCATTATATATCCCAAAATTTCCTGAAGTTAATGTTTGGTACTTGTGAAAAATATTTTTTTGAAAACACTTCCACATAAAAAAAACTATGCCAATTGATTGGACAACATTTTTTTAACATCAATTGACAATCAATTAGTGTGAAAAAACTTCACAAAAATACTTTCACGCATTCCAAACGAGCCTTTAATCACATTGGAGTTTTTTCATGTGAAAATCCTTTTACATAATTATTTCCACACTTGTACTAAAAGATTTCCCCTTTCCTATGGACGATAGTATACATTTTCTCCTTCGGGCAAAATACATGTGATGGATATTTTTTGGATCTCAAAATTTGGGATGTTGTTTTTCTCGGCAAATGCATTATGAAATAAACTCTATATGTACTAGAAAAAACTTATGCGTCAAGATCGAATAGAAACCGTCTAATTTTTTAAGGGCTAGATTTAAATGTCGCAAAACTTAAAATTCAAATGTTTTATTTAAAAAATAATCGTTTAGTAGTTTTTAGACTAAGAAAATTCTAAACTAAGACGATTCTCCTAAGTAGCTGTTTTGAGTGAGGAAGGAGATGCACAGTATCCTCCCTAGGGATCACAATATATGCATTCAATAGGAAAAACATACAAAATGACTATTTTTTTAAGGGCGCGGTATGTATAGAGCCGAAGCTCTAAACAAGCATATTAGAACTCACCTTCAAATAATGTTGAAAAATGTGGTCTCAATACTGGAAATCTTTATGATAGACTTAAAATATATTTTCACATTTAATTATAAAATTTAAAGCCTAAAAAATAGTGTAGATCAAGTAGATCCAAAAATGCATTACAAGATGCACTATTTTCAAAACTTGAAATCCATTTTTTTTTTCATATTTACGTATCTTGATGTGGAGATGATCAATTTGAATATATTTGGGCATCAAAACGACCTCTTCTGGTGAATTTTTTGCGGTGGGCTCTAATTTGATTGTTTAGAGCCTCGGCTCAATATAATTTCTTTCCTTTTTTTAATACAAGAATAGCACAATACTATTGCCCATCATATTATTTCAAATTGGGTAATAGTAAGTGTGTGACTGACAAATCTCAAAGAAAAATAAATTCTCAAACTTTATCACACGACCCAAAGCTATCCAATTCGGCACCCAATGGCTATAAGTAATCGTGACATTATGGACCTGTTTCTTTGCTTCGGCTACCGGGTTTTTTCATTCAACAACACTAAGTGGAAGTGTCATATATATTTTTCCTTGCACGTTTTCCTTAATCTCTCTACGGGGCTGGCGGTTGAGCTGGGCCACTTTTTATGTCCCTAGGTTTATTTTTTTCCCTTTAGTATAATTTGTTAAAATAGTGTGTGCTTTTTCTGTGTATTTTGAAACTAAATTAAAAGAGTCAAGTAAAGTATTAAATTGTTTATCCCTTTCGGATAATCAAATAAATTTCCACTTTTTCTCTTCTTGAGTTGGTTACGCCGAACTCCGTCGTCCTTTCCACCTAAGGGACTGGACAGGCTCGAGCAAGGGCTACCCTAGACTGGCTCATTGCCAACTAGCTTTTTGGTTAGATTTTTTTTTTTTTTTTTTGAGTGTTCCACAATTTTATCAATCAATGAATATTACAATGAAGTTTGACAATAACAACATCTAAAATAACTTAAGCCGGCAAAAAAACTCCTTCTTAGCCAAAAAATCCGCCACATCATTACCTTCTTTGCAAACATTGTTGAAAGTAACATTTATGTTTCTAGTCATGTCCATAATCTTCATCCATTACGGCCTCAGCGGTGCTCTAGATATATGGTTACACCAATTGATTCATATAATTACACTCAATCACACAAGGGCCTGGATACCTTACTCAATGATGATTTTCATCCTTTGTAAAAATACTAACAACTCCGCTTGATTGGCCTTTCTAATTCCACAGGGATGCAAAGCAAAAAATACATTCACCAAGATCATTTCTTACTACTGCCCCCACATCGGTTGGACCTGGCTTACCAAACGAACTACCATCACATTTCATCTTAATAGTGCCCATCCCCGGAGCTATCCGTCGCCCTTTATGTCTCACCTTCACCACCTTTTGTGTGATAAGGTTACTAATATTCACTTCCCTATCTATTTCAGATACCCTGAATCCTTCCTTGGTAATTGAGAACCAACCCCATAAAGTATGTTGTATTATGTTCTTGACCATGTTACCCTCCAATACCACCCCCTCAAAAACCCACCTATTTCTCTGTAGCCAAATCTCCCAGAGTACAATAGCCTTACCATTCTAAAAAATCAAACTCCCGATCGTAGGCAGCCTATCAACAGACATTTGCTCAATGATTTAAGTATGGCTTTGAGGGAATGACCCAACAATACCCAATTTGTTAGAAAACCAACACCATATCATAAGTAAAAAGGCTATGTAAAAATAAATGGTCCACATACTTATCACTCTCCTTACAAAGCATACAAATGTTTGTGAGGATCCTACATCTTCTCATAAGCTTATCAACTGTCAAAGTCTTCTTTTGAAATAAAACCCAAAGGAATACCTTAACTTTTGTTGGATCTTCCAAGACCATGTTTTGTACGAAGAGTACTTATTCCACTTAATCCTATACCAACTGATCCTCAAAACCATGGAATAGTTTCACATTTTCTAATACGCTTAACAACCCTGCCATCTGCATAATAAACTTATCAGTAGCTCCATTATAAAGGCAATTAACATTCCAAATCCCTCTCTCCCTACAAAAGACCTCATTCACTTTAGCCATGGGATTAGATGATGCATTAAAAATCAAAAGGAAAGAGTACCTCAAGGGTGTGTCTCCTATCCACTTACCATGCCAAAAGGGAACCTACGATCCATCACCCACCTTCCATCTAGAATAGCTAATCATAAATATTCTATTTTGCAAGTTGTATTTCCATACCATGGATTGAGTTCTATGGCTACTATTGCTACCCAACCACAAATTAAGCCTGTCATCCCCATATTTTGCCTTTAAAATGTCCTTCCAAAGAGCACTCTCACCATCTATCGATCTCAGCCACTATTTTGCCAATAAAGCTTGATTTGTATACTTTAGCCTTCTTACACATAAACCCCCTTGAGAAATAGGCATACAAACTCTCTCCCAGCTAAACAAATGATACATCTTCCCAAACTCACTGATCACATTCATCCAATCAAATCAGACGGTTGAGAAGTGGGGTTACATATAAGTTATATATATTATCATCGTCATCATAGTATTTTTTCAAACTATTTGGGGTCAACTACAAGAATCTTGGTACGTCATTATGTTATATCAAAGGACATACCTTAAGTGAGGCCATAAGTCCCCATATCTATTCTTACTAGATCCAACCATATCTTTTTGAGCCTACCCTTTGCCCTTTTTGAGCCTTTCACTTGAACTAACTCGTACCTCCCAACATGTGTCATACTGGGTGAGTTGCATATGTCCAGCCCTCCTAAGTCTACTTTCTCTCATTTTATCGTCTATTGGTACAACATCTAAACTTTTTATGAATGTATTCGTTTTGAATTTTATCCATTCTTATCTTGCCACTAATTCATCAAAATATCTTCATCGCAGCTACACTCATCTTATGAGTAAGTTGCTTCTTGACTACCTAACATTATGCCCCATAAAGCAAAGTTAGTCTCTACTAGTTGTTCGCACACTAGTTAGCGTTTCTTCGTACATATCTCTCACAAAGTCAATGTAGTATTTGAAGACGTTTTTCTTTCCTAACACCCACCAAATTAAATATCGCGGTACGCTATCATAAGCTTTCTAAATATCAATAAAGACCATGTGGAGGTATTTTCTCTTCATTCAAAACTTATCAATTGGTTGTCTAAGTAGGAAAATAGTCTCAATTGTTGACCTCCCTGACATAAAACAGAATTGATTTTCTAATATACTCATTTCTTGCCTTAGTTGTTGCTCATTCACTCTCTCTCATAGCTTCATATTGTGACTCATAAGTTTGATTAGTTCACACAATTCTATGTATCATTTATTCTTGTAAATAGGTATCACAACATTTTTCTTTCATTTATATGGCTTTTTTCTTTGTTCTCAACACCTTGGTCAACCATTAAATGCCAATCTCCCTCACGCACTTCCAAACCTCTATCGGGATACCATTTGATCTTAAAACTTTTATTGTCTTCTTCTTCCTCAAAAATTCTTTTACTTCCAATATGCTAATCCAACGAATATATTTATAACCTCCACCATCATTTATTCCTACCGTTCGTTCTACCATTAAGTTCTATTGTGTTTGTTATTAATAAGTTTTTAAAATAAACTCTCCATTTTTGTCGACATCTTCATCTTTCACCAAGACCTTTTTACCATCACTCTTAATGCATTTAATATCGTCTAGATCCCTACACTTTTTCTCTCTTATTTTTGTAAATTTGAAGACATTGTTTTCATCTTTTATTATTCTCAGTTAA